GAGAGGAGTAAGTAATATGAGGGCAGTCTGTCGGAGGGGGATCTATTTTGCTTTACGGGTGAAGGTGAGATGGTATTTCATGGGAGAGGATATTATGGTTCGGTTCTAGATATAGAAGGATGTAAGGATGGAAGAATAGGAATGGCTAGCTAGCTATACGGTTACCTAAGTAAATGGATAAGCGAAAGTAAGTGATGTTTCTGAATTACCTAGTAGGTAGATTACCAGTTGAGCGAGCGCGTGGACGATCAGATGATTAGTTGATTAATTGGTTGATTAGTTGATTGTGTATAGACAAATAAGTATCATATATTATATTATATTATATTATATTATATTATATTATATTATATTATATTATATTATATTATATTATATTATATTATATTATATTATATTATATTATATTATATTATATTATATTATATTATATTATATTATATTATATTATATTATATTATATTATATTATATTATATTATATTATATTAATTATATTATTTGAAGACGGGGAAGGGAAAGGGAAGGGAAGAAAAGATGCGATGAAGACTTACTTACTTACCACGAACACTCGCTCCACTGAGATAATAATCTCATTCCTACTATTCCTACGAACTAATCTTTTGATTCTTTACTTCCTCGTTCGTTGTTGATATGATATTGTGGTGGTATCTAAGATTACGTCGTCATGGTTTGATAGCTGTGGGCGGATACTAGTAAGTTTTTAGCTAGTAGTTAGTCTAGGAGAGGAGAGGAGAGAGGAACTTCTGGAATGAATGGCATCAAGATGTTGCATCACGGGGTATGGGCTCAGAAATACTAAGCGCTGCCAGTACCATCCAAGGGCTAGAAGCGAGAGGGTTATATCTTCTAGCGGATATCATTTTCTGCGATGACATTTTATTCCATCGCGATATCGACATCTTTATTTGAACGCCGTACTTTCAATGGCAGCCATAGCTCGACAGTAGCTCCTACTATTAGAGATGAGCTAGCTCAATCGATTTGGAAATGCGTTTTTGGGGTCGATCTCCCCGTGTTGGCTATAGGGTTCGTTATTATCCTAAGGTCTTACTATATCTCAAAAAGAAATAACCACGAAGTCTAAACCTGAAGCAGGCGCTGATGCAGGTTGATTTTACAGGAAATGCCATCGATATCTTTGTCCTGGGCATAATATATCGACGATACTGCTCGGTTTTGTGATGAGTGATTCCTAGTTTTCTTGGGAACGTTAATTTGGCATATACATAATTCTTCCTTTGGTTCTTGGTTTTTGGGATAAGCGTAATTTATGTGTACGAGTTTTTGCCTCGTTCTTTTTTAAACAACTGATCATACCACCTAGGTTGTTAAATACCACATATCTACCGTCAGCTACGTTGTCGTCTTTCTCGGATTCACCCTTCTAAGAGCTACTAATTACTTCCTTCCTAGTACTTACGTCCAAGCAGTCAAAGGAAAGTACTAGTCACCTACAAATTCCGGCATCTACCACCTTCCATTCTCGCTAGCCGCTATTCGACTTTCGAATTGAGGGCTTGCTTGTACTTTGATATCCAAAATCAGCCAATGCATTCCTCTACATGGAACCGATTTGCATTAAGTGCCATCAGAACAGTGCTTTCCTCAACCTCGACCTTGAAAACATCATCTAGCAGTGAAAAATGTATCAATTATCAAGTCACCCCTTTGGATAATTAGCTCAGACCTTATTCTCACATCCGCTTTCATCTCATCTCTTGCGTCGTTATTTGAGGATGATGTTGTATTGCTACTTGCACGTACTCATGATTACCTACACGCTCTTTTGATTTTCAGGAATTGGCCATTACTTCCGTCATATTTAACAGTTAAATCGATAGGATTTGATTTTGAGCGAGTGGAGAATCAACCAACGAATCTTGATAGTTAATGAATTCGAATCGATAACGGTATATATACGCAGCCGCGTATGTAAATAAGGACACGATAGTAGTATTGTACTGCTAGCTATGTAGTATGTACCACCGAATCTCAAGTTGCGAGACATATGTAATGAATGGCTTTAGGGGTTGTCTGGGGTTCTGGGGTTGAGATTTGCAGCCATCGAGGGTGTTTTCGATTAGTGGTTTATTTCTCGATGGGTATCGAGGGTTTGCGCGGGAAATGACGGGATATACTAGTGTGCTTGTAGTTGGAAGTGGATGAATAAGTGAATAACTATACCTAGCTCACATAGCTCCGTTGATGGGCGTCCCTGGCGTCCAATCTGAGATATTATTTTTGCAAAATCATATAACTTACTTGTAGATTCGATTTTGTAAGTATGAAAGTTATAGTGTAATAGTGTTGATGTAGATATCGATGATGTATGTAGATTCAGCCCGGATCGAATATATTTTACCGAACCTCCCCCCTTAAGACTTACTCAATCTCTTCAATTTTGATAATTAATAACTTTACAATGATAAGGACCAAAATCTTGAAAACTGTATCATTAAGATTAATAGGTAGTATAGTTAGTTCATCAAATACATATATCCAATATACCGCTGCCCTTCCCAGCTACGCCAAAACTTTCACTCTCACAATAATATCTTGAGTGCCCTCATCTCCAGCTTCCATGTGAACATATTCTTGAAATTGAACTTATAATCTTCCATTCAATATAGCAACAGCCTCATGAGTCAAGCTCACAGATCCAAAGCGTTCAAAATGTCTTCGAATCAGACGAAGATGAAGATAGCCAGCAGATGTCGAAAAAATATTCCGCTTCGAGACAGAAGTAGCAGGATTTAAGTTCCACACAGCCGAACCCGCCGTTGATTGGCAGTAAGATGATCTGCTAGCAATTGAGATGGGTGACCTGAACCTGATGAAGATATCAAAAGCTTCCTCGTATGAGGAAATCGGGAGCTGCAGACGTAGCAGATAGAAAGGCGGTAGTAAGCTATATTCTTTCTAGATCTGGGAAAGCTGATAAGATATGAGGAGATTAGAGGGTGGACTATGAAAGGAGCTCCATTCTTAGACTTATTGAGCACTTGTATTCATGCGTGGTATGGATCATATGCATATCGAACAATTACAAGTGAAGCGACGAAAGGAGTTGTAAATGCGAGGTTATTTATTATAAATCATTGGCTATAATTAGAACCTATATAAATATTTATTCATACCTACCCCCTCATATTCCAACCCCAAAAGAAATGAGAAGATTATAAATTCAAATTTTATATCTCTTAAGGTTTTATACTCGTGTATATATATATTTTCCAGACGCCTATATCTTAAATATCTTTACGATCGGAATCGAGGTCTTGTTATTAGAGTAATTCATATTTAGGATTACCTGGGGGGTGTTTCTTTAGGTTTAAAGTTTATATAACCTTACTCGACTATACAATCTTATACACATGTATATATAGTATGAATCACAACTTGTGAAAGAAGGGGTGGTTGAACGAACAGAAGATATGAATAAAAGGGGTTCACGGGGTGGAAGAGATGAATATGATGAATAGGATATATGGTTTTGATTAAATGAGAATATTAACAGTGATACTGATAGCGATATTCGAGATGTGAAGATTTAGTATTTATTTGCAATTGCAGCAGAGTGATTTCAGTCGTTCGCGTCGTGTTGGGTAACTTTGAAGCTTTATTTAAGATTATTACATCTCCAACAAGAATCTTCAGATAACAAATCAACTGATGTGTAATCTAGATTGAAATATCCTAAGTTGGAGAATAGGAGAACTGTCAATACTACAGCTAATGGCCAATGAAGTTGTATACCTACCTACCTATTGGAACATTAGACTTCGCGAGCAAAAGGTCAAAATCGGGTATAATATAAACATAACCAAATTTCATGATATGTATTCCAGTGAAAGCAAGCTCTGAAATTGCAGTATAGAAAGAATTGTTCATTTCTAGATTTAGAGGAAAAGAGTCTTTCTCGCAACAATGAATAGAAATAATCTAGATATTCGCGGGTTCTCTATGTACCACCAATCAATGCTACAGACTTCTGCCTCATTATGCGGCTCAACCCATCATCTATCATCCAAAACGTAAAAGCTGCAGTTGCAGCTGAATTCAAAACAAAACTTGGAAATGTTTGAAACGGCGGTAAAGATATCACAAATACAAGGAAAGAGTGCGGGGATCCGATCGCACTTGTACGATCAGGTGGATTTTGCTGTGACATGTGAAGAGAGCAGGCTGATATGAGAGGGTATTGGAGACTGCGCACTTCAATGTGGAGGAGCATAGAATATGACAGGATTGTGACAGGATGAGAGGATACTGTGGGAGATATGAGATGATATTGTGGCGGATGTCTAGATGACATGCTTGCATGGATGCGTCTCGAGACCGTTCCACAAAATAAAGTACATGGGAACACCAATGTGGGAAAATTATCGGTTTTTGGCCTTGGTTTGCGAAATTATCATGCAAACTCGCTTGTGGATTCCTTGTGCGACCTTCTTTGGTTACTAAAGTGATTCAGATGTCGCACGAGGAGAAGCATGAACATCGGCAACTCGCCGGGTAGCTGGAAAAGTCAAACTGTTGGCCGTGATGTCGTGTGTTGTGCCTCTTTCTTGCGATACTTTTATTGTGAACCGTAGGACTTGAGATAGTGGTACCGGTTCTCGGGCAAAGACGTGTGATATATGTGCGGTGGCGCGCAAACTACATGCCGGTGGCTTGGCAATTCAATGGGCCATTGGTGATGAGTTTCCTCTACTATTGAGCCGTGTCTTTAATGGTAGGCACATCTTTGGATCTCGGCCGGTTTCCTAAACTAGTATCCGATGTTTGCGTCGATACGAACTGTAATTATAATGTATTGTGCAATAAAGTAACGTTCTCCTCATCTCTTTCATGTATGGTGAGGAGTGCAGATGCGAACCAAGAGTGGACTAATTAGAACTGTCACATATGCAGGCACAGATCGCGAATATGGTTCGCGGAGATGGGCATTCGCGATATGCATGTGCTGATGTCAGCATGGATTGCTGCGGGAAGGTGCAAATATTTCATGGTAACATTGGGGGAAATATGCAGCAGGAATTGTACCTGAAGAAACATTCGTAATGAAATGAAATAATTCATATCCCATCACTAAATGAAGTTTGCAATAATTTGATAAACTTTGCAGTGTGGCCTATTGGGCTTACAAGTGAAAGGAAGAGCATGTCGAAGACTCGCATTGCAAGGTTGGCACAAATATCCTAATACCCTTCGACCTGTCAGACTCGAGGGATAAGTTCGAACATGACAAAGTAAGACTATAGGCCTATGAGATCTAGAATTATCTGAATATGACTATCTGCCTTAAAGGTGCTAATTGTTGGATAGGATAAAGATTCGAAGAGGAAGTGAACCCTTCAGATCGGACAGGTTTCTGTCTAGACCATGTTTTTGAAATGTGATAGCGACGGAAATGCAAGAGTGATTACTAGCATGAGTAAGCGGCAAAGCCGATAAGATGCGGAAATGTATAGTAAGGAATGATGACTTGATCCGGATCCGGATCGTATCATCAAATGCGAACAAGATGTATTGATCACCACTGATCGCCGATTGGACATGTGTTTTTCTGAGAGGGAATCCGCGAGCTATAGAGATTAGAGAAGATGCTCTTATAAATGAAGCGCGTAGCCTGATTTTCCTTATTCCGAGCCTCTTTTCTCACACTTACGAGATAGATGGAGTTGAAGCTTTAGCAGTGATCAAAAACGAATTTCAGTTCACCTCCTAGGTATTTCTGTTGAATATGAGGTGGCAAGCATGTTGTGGCTGCAGGAAAAGAAAGAAGAAAATATACCCCACAATAAGTCATCTTTCTTCTCGAAGGAAGTATGCGTAGGCGAAGTATACCTAGTCACATCGCCTAGGTACGTACCTTTTTACATACACAGACTAGAACTAAAATTAAAGCTAGTACCTTTGTATCTCTAGTATCTGAGATGATTACATCGTACCGGTACATGAATTTGTAAGGAGGAAGAGAAGGGAGAGAAACTTGACAAGGGAAATCCACTCGAGCAGGCCATTTCAAAAGTCTCACCGCCAATCTCGATCGAAACTGAGGTAAAGTGGCATGCCGATATTGATTATCTTATGACCATGGGGGGTAAGGTGGACAATCACACCCTCTTCGCATTATTGGAAGGTATATATATTATATTGTTCAAGTACTGTATGTAATATAAGTTAATAGATTAGAAAAAAGTATTTTGCATCTGCGGGGCCGGCCCGAGTGTCACGGCAGCTATGCCCAATCCCGCCATACGTGGTATATGTAAGATATCTGCCCGACGGCAGCAATGCGTCAGAATTGGAGTTTTTGACATATTGGCAATAAAAGAGATACCGGGGTACATACCATTCTTTGGTGCATTGGCGAGTGACACGAGGGGTAAAGGAACTGCCAATGTCGGAGAAGATGTTGCCGCAAGCCAGATCGGAATTCGCTACCAGAATCGACACCGTACTGTGCAGTGCCGTACTTTAACAATGATACGTATGTGATTGATACCGACGTTCTATGTTTAATGCCTGATGCTTGAAAGATGCAGGCAGTTACATGAGTTGGTCGGATTTGAAAGTGCTCTGCCCGGAGGTGAAATTATCGTGCTGTTCATAGAACCGATTTCTCCATTTCCCCGGCCGAGTAAGTGCCTTACCTAGGTACGGAGAAGATTTGAAGAAGGCTCACGTGGGCAGGCATATTTTAAGATACTGTCGCAGAGCAGAGTAGTAACCATGCAGTCGTTCATACAATCAATAGCGACGCTGAGCCTGATATGGATATATATTATACATAGCGGTTGGCACACCGTCACTTCCTAAGAAGTTCGAGTAAACCGGCAAGATATATATACAAATGCAGCAGTAATCATTACTCCGCTCTCATGCCGCTCTCATCATTACATGATGAGTACATGATGAGTACAGTACATGATACAGTTAGACGAATGGCCTACCACGTGTCAGTAAACTAATATCTGACATGCAGTCGATCCTGATTCATCCTCGAGTGCTCTAGCGAAAGTTTTTGTGTCAGGGATGAAAGTGGAAAGTGGTTGAAGTGATGGGGATTCATGGGATATGGCAGAAGTGGGGCTATTCCTGCAGCGCAACCGAATTTTGGTAGCAGATGGACGCTCAGCCCTTGTGTGTCTTGGAGGGTGGGGGGGGGGGGTGTTTTGTATGTGTGAGTGTCAACTTGTGGATGGGTGGTGCCATGAGATCGCTCAGGTCCAGGCCTTCATCCACCAATCTATTCCGGGGGGTCTGCGATAAATGTGACAATACCGGTAGAGAAGCAATTTATAGGGATGGAGGATGCTAAGCGGGTGGTAGATGATACCCAATACTGTACAATGATTACTTACCTCCTAGGTACTGTACCTCCTTAGGTAGTAGTCGATACGATCAAACAGATCTCAATTACCTTTGAAATTTGTACTCTTGCAGTCTTGTACTCCTGTACTCTGGTCTGGTACAGTACTCTTGTACTCTTGTACTCTCGTACTCTCGCACTCTTATGCTCTTCTACCCTTTCTTGTATCCAGTACTATATATATCGTAACTTTAATGTGCAAGGCAATGAAACAGAGGCAAGAAAAATAAAAATAAAAATAAAAATCCTCTTTACCGAGAACTTTCTTTCATCATAGCGCGGATAGGTTACAACACTGCTTCCGTAACGTCAACGGGCCCCCTATAATATGAAGCGCTATACCCTCACCCTCATACTCATACTCACTCATGACTTGTATGATGTTTGAAACCTAATGCCATTATGCCCATGATTGTCCCCAAGTCTCCCTCTCCCTCTCCCTTTCCATTCCCATGAACCACCTTCTTTTGGATCCCATCCCGATGTTTACCAGGAGCCAAGAATGCTCGTGAATGGAAGATTACGAATTACCGAATAACCTCAACCATATCTGGACCACATTGAACATCGTTGCTGCACTGTCCGGTATCGTATGTACCTGTTACACGAGTCGCCAACCACATACATCGATGCATGATACACATTGCATACTATCCTACTTATACGTTGATGATGTATGGGTCGCATCGATGAAAAAATGGTAGCTAGGTAGGCCAATTATGCAGTGTATAATATCAAATCACAACCTTAAACTCTATGTGGAGTGATTTCCAGCCTGTTTCCTCAGCTTACCTTTCAATCTCCCAACAAGCCTTCATCGTTCAGGAAACTTTTCCTCTTTGTATTTGATGGAGCAATTCAAAGCGCATAGGAGCCCTCATCAAGCAAGTTCCCATAGCATCTCCTACCCCATTGGTGGACATTATACCGGTACCGACGCTCTAATTCATATGGGCCCGGAGCACACTATGCCTTGCTTGACTCTCATGCCTGTGCTCTGCTGGCGGTCAAAGAAATGAGGAGGCTCTCATCAACTACTAGAGTATAGTACGAAACATCTAACAGATATGACAATACGAGAAGAAAACAAAGACAAGCAAAAGGAAAAAAAAAGGGAAGAAAAAAAAGAAGCGGAGCTCAAAAGTCTAATAAGAAAGAAGAGATTGTACAGTCGCATCGTACGTACGAAGGAAGTACTTGCTACTTTCAACAATATTCACAATCACAATCAATCACAATCACATCCATCACGTTCACATTTATTAATAAATCCACATTCAAAACTACATCCATATCCATATCCATATCCATATCCACACCCACATCCACAATACAGTACGAAATACATTCACTGCACTCACTGCATTTGCAATATAAGAAACTTCACCCACTTCACCCACTTCGCCCCTTCATCCAATCGTTAACCATACCAAACAAAGTTCCAATCAATTAAGAACAATTCGAGGGACGGAATCACCCTTTATTTATTTATTATTCCCTTATATTCATCCAGACTTTATCAATATATTTGATTAAGAGAAGTACTCCTCAAGGCGTTGTTGGGCTTTGTATGTTGCATGTGCCTCTCCCTCTCCATCAAGTTCCCTGCACTCTTTTCACACCTTTGCGCAGAACGGACGCATCTCTTGTTCGCATTCACACTCCCGAATACAGGTATCCGGGTCCCAATATTTGATACATACTTGACTTAATTCAGAAAATAAGAGAAAATTTGAAATTCCAAAACTGGAATTGCAAAAAGCCAGCCAAGAAAGAGTTATTGAGAAGGACAACTTGTTGAAAAGGACACATTGGGAACTTGATGGTTAGGAGTGGAAAGAGGTCAAAGAGAGTATAAAGAGTTTTGTTTAAAACGCGCGAGAGCAAAGGTAAGATATTAAAAACAAAGTTATATATTTCTTTGAAGTCTAGATCATCAGCAACAACACCAACATCAACATCGGCAGTCATCCAAAGTACAAACTACCTCAGTACCTTTCTTTGGAAGTTTATATCTTCCTCAACTTTTCTACATTCAAAAGTACCTACGGTACCAAGTATATCACTTCATATCTTGATATATTAACCTCTTTAAATCATCAACTCAAGTTACCTACTTATTACTTCACTGTCTTGTTGTGTATATCTCATCTCATCTCATCTCATCTCACCACATCAGTCTCCTCTACTTGTACTTGTACTTCTTTCTCCTGTTACTTCTATTTCTCCCTCATCTTCCTACCGTGTCTTTCATCTTCCATCTTACACCTACTTTTATCCTCACTTTTATTATAGTACCAAACTTTAAAATAGGAATCTGGTATTAGTACGAGACTATTAAACTATTTTTTGAGCCAAGATTCCCCACCATCATCTCCGCCACCATCACTTATTTACATCCACATTCACATCTATTTGTTGATCATCTTTTTCATTCGACAACTGCATTTGTTGGTTACACCGCAAATCGCAGGTAAATTCACATAAATCATATCCATTTCGCTGATCATACATCTTTGAATTTCCTTTAGGTATCAGGATATTAGTCCAATTTCAGTCGTTTATACCTCGGTATCACCACAGCCAGCCAGCCAGCCAGCCACAGTCACTCCGGCACCGCGCTCCTCGAGATACAAACCACTGAATAAGCTTGTCCCAGTCGAAAGGGTCATGAGCTATCCACGATCGCTTTTCAACCCGGTATATTGATGAGGGAAGGAAGGGGAGACTTTCAATTAATATAAATTGAAATGGCGGGCGTCGATAAGTACTTGAGCTCGAGCTCTAGTATTCATCCAAAGGGAATGGGTACTTATACCACAGCAACAATATTGGATCTCGCGCACTTCAATTATCCATGGATTCTTTTGGTCGTATTTCTCGTCTCATTCGTCACACATAGCATCCTAACTGCTGAGTCTTCTGATGAATCTGGACCGGTGCTCACAGGTCCTGGCGGAAAACCTTTACCGCGGTCTGTTAGGAGGACAAAACAAGATAAGGATAGGCTCAAGCTGCAAGATTTCAGCCCTGTTCGGAAATTATTATTTCTCTGGCTTTCGGCTGGTGTTCTGGGAACGTTTCTCGGCAATGCGATCAACATTGTGGTACATGCCCTCGATAAACGGGAGAATGGTTGGTGGTGTGGCGAAGCAACTGCAGTGAGTATTCGCTCCTCCAGCTTATGTTCAGGATGAAACAGCTACTGACCATTGTTGAATGCAGATATATGTTTGCGCCTCTCTCTTTTTCTACAGTGTCTTTCTCATTTCCTTAGTCGACACCACACCCTCACCTTCAATTGCACATCAGGTTACATGGTTCGTTGCGCTGGTTATTGAAATTGTGCTTTTTGCCGCTTCGTTATCGTTATATACCTCAGCTCACCCAGAACTCAACTCACTGCTTACATACGATCCGGAATTTCACAAATATGCAACCCAATGGGAAATTGTTGAGCTTGTACTCGATGCAATTCGGGTAGTTCTACTTTTCTTCTGCGTAGCTTTTTATTGTGTCTTCACTATTGAACGCTCATTCAAAGGCAAAATTGCAAGTCGTCAGAGTAGCAGTGAGCCTGATGAGAACAGCCCTCTCCTTTTCAATGGTCGAGCGAATGGGAACGGTCATGTTTCCGGAAATGGTTCAATTGCAAATGCATCTGCTGCAGACTCTTTATCGTTGAATGGACACGCGACTGCGAATGGTACTGCCGTACAAGGCGCCGACATTCAAGGGAGACCGATTGTTCAGCAGCGTGTGGACGAAGTGCCGGCCTTTTACAAGCCTACAACGGCTACAACAAAGACGTGGTGGGAGTACTTGAAAGGATATTCACTCTTCTTTCCATATTTATGGCCGGCTAGATCCGTTCGCTTGCAAATAGTAGTAGTTGTTTGCTTCCTGCTTGTCGTTATGCAACGAATAGTGAACATCGCGGTTCCTTTGCAAGTCGGAAGGGTCACCGATGCGCTCACTGGCGATGATGACAACGAAGTCACGATGCCGTGGTTGTCAATTTCTCTACTCATTGCTTTCAAGTTTCTTCAAGGCTCTTCCGGAATTTTAGGGGCTGCTAGATCGGTTCTGTGGATTCCAATTTCACAGTACTCATACAAGGCTCTGACCACCGCCTCATTTGAGCATGTCCATGGTCTTAGTCTGGATTTTCACCTCGGGAAGCGCACCGGAGAAGTCCTATCAGCACTTAGTAAGGGTAACGCCATCAATAATTTCCTTGAGCAAGTGACCTTCCAGGTACTTCCAATGATATTTGATCTTGGCGTAGCTATTGGTTATTTTGCATACGCCTTCGACGCTTACTACGCTCTCGTGGTTAGCATCATCACCTTTTCCTACCTTTACCTTACCATCCGAATGGCAAGATGGCGATCAGACCAACGTCGACAATGCAAACCTCAGCCGTGAGGAGGACGCTGTCAAGAATGACTCTCTGACGTCTTATGAGACGGTCAAATACTTCAATGCTGAAACTTATGAATTTGATCGTTACCGACAGGCGGTCTCGGCATTTCAGAAAATGGAATTCAAAGTAACCATTTCTTTGAATATCCTTAACATTAGTCAAAACTTGGTCTTCATGGCTGGACTTCTTGTAACTTCTTTCATTGCTGCATACCAAGTTACCACTGGTAAGCGTCAAGTGGGACAGTTTGTGACTTTAATCACATACATGGGTCAACTTCAACAACCTCTAAATTTCTTCGGGTCCTTCTATCGAGGAATTCAGAGCGCCATGATCAGTGGCGAACGTCTTCTTGAGCTGTTCAAAGAGGAGCCGACTGTTGTAGACGAGCCAGGTGCTCAGCCACTGCCAGCATGTGAGGGTCGAATAGACTTCAATCATGTCAAATTCTCCTACGATACCCGCAAGCCTGCTCTGGAGGACTTGAGTTTTACCTGCAAACCTGGCACGACTACAGCTTTTGTTGGAGAATCCGGAGGAGGAAAATCCACTGTTTTTCGGCTACTTTTTCGATTTTACAATACCCAGAATGGTAGTATCCAACTTGACGGCCACGACATTAGGGATATAACCATAGATTCGCTAAGACACCACATTGGTGTTGTACCACAGGACACAATCCTTTTTAACGAGACTCTGATGTATAATCTCCGCTATGCCAACCAAGATGCGACTGATGAAGATATTTACAATGCATGCCGAGCTGCATCAATCCATGATAAGATATTGGCGTTTCCGGATGGTTACGACACGAAGGTCGGTGAGCGAGGTCTTCGTCTTAGTGGTGGCGAGAAGCAACGAGTGGCGATAGCACGAACTATCATCAAGAATCCCCGGATCATCATGCTTGATGAAGCCACTGCCGCATTGGATTCTGATACTGAACAACACATACAAGAAGCATTAACGACCTTGTCCGAAGGCCGTACTATGCTAGTCATTGCGTAAGAGCTCTCTCTAATCAAATCCCTAATCGTCTGCATTATGCTAATCATCGCCACTATAGCCACCGATTGTCCACCATCACTAATGCAGATCAAATATTGGTTCTCCATGCTGGGCAAGTCGCTGAAGCTGGAACTCATAGCGAGCTCTTACTTAAGAAAGGTCGATATGCACAGATGTGGAAGAAGCAAATCAGAGCCGAGCGAGCAGCTGAGAAAGCTTCCGAGATGGTAGCTAGAGCCAGAGCTCTCAGTGAAGCAGCTTCCATTCAGACTCCCGGCAGTCACTCTAGCAAGGTCAATGGTGGCAGTACGGAAGTAAGCGAATACGAGGGAGACAATCACAGCAATAGGACACTCGTCGCCTCAACTTTAGCGACAAGAGCTCCTACTCGAACTCCGGAGAGTCGAATCAACGATGACAGTGCTAGTTCTAAATCTAGCTCTAGTTTAGATTCAGATGGCCACAAATCAGATGAGGATAAGCAAACGGGGAATCACAAATCTGACGACAAAGCCGGTGTCGACAAGTCGGACAAGTCAAACAACCGTTGAATGACATTAATATCTTGAGGTTTTCTATCGAATGTGTTTCCCATTCGCCTCAAACTAATATGGAGACATTTCTACTATATATCTCTCCACCGCCGCCGTTAAAAATTGCATATAATGGTGGCAAAGGAGCTCTTTCCGTTTCACTTCAGTCTACTGGACTTGATGTGTTATTTTATATCCAGCATCGTTGAGATTTCCTACCTGATAGAATCACCGCTCCTTTCACAATACCCTTGATTTTGTCACACACCTTGCGAATTTGGCCTTTGTTGTTTAGATGTTTATAATGCACATGCATACTGCGACGATGATTCACGACTCGAGCGTAAATGAAGCATGTTTGGAGGTTAGCGATTGGGTTTTTCTAGTTTTCTTTTTTAATTTACCGGTTTATACGTTGGAGCTCGGAAAATGGCTGGCTGTGATATGGGAGACTTGGAGGTGTGAGCTAGTTAGTTTGCTGGAGATTCGTGGGGTTTGGTTCGCTTTAAAAAAAGAATGGGGCGGGAGAGGTGACAAAATCACAGGGAAAATTTGTGCCTTACAATAGAGTACCGGAGCAATTCCATACCAAATAAAATAATTGAAAAGGGGATGAAGATGGGCAGTTCGGAATTGAAGCTTTGAAAAGGTTTAAAATCAATCATGAGCGCACCTTCAATGTGATCAAATTAAGCATGGTTAGTGGAAAGCAATGAGAATACGTCAACTTCGCGCTTTACTATTCTACATTTCTACACTCGCCTATCATCGCTAACGCACCGGGACCCCATTCTCTCTCGATTTATCTGTATTCCGGACGAACGAAATCGGCAAAGGTCTTTGGCTCCTCGTAGTTGTGGTGTCCATCATCGTGGTGATCGTGGTGGTGATCGTGAGAATCCGTTTCTGGACCAACATATTCCATTTTCAAAACGTTTCCGCACTCTGGGCAACGCTCGATGGGACGGTCGCGAGACATCTGGAAGACGGAGTTAGAATTTAAAACTGATATAACAAAGTTTCAAGGTGGGATGTGGGAAAAAATATGAGAAGGGTTCCATAGACGTACTGTAAGCCAGATAGTAACATGCGAGTCAACTGGGTATCCGGTACAACCGGCATATTGTTCGTCACCGAAGGACTTGACAATGATTGGGTCCTCCAACGTGCCTAAACATCTCTCACCAATCAGCAAATCCATCCTCATTCATCTCATTCATCCCATCCGTCTCATTCATTTCATCCTTCGAATTTCGACGCAACAGCCCCATCCTAATGTCTCTCCCAGGTGAAGCATGCATGCGTACCTTTCCTGGAAGCATCCAAAGGCTTCATGTCGAAAATATCCACTCCCTGCATCTTTCCCAAGATCTCAAGACGCTCGAGACCAGTCGCTTGCTCGAGATCGGTAGGGACAGTTCCGGGTAAGGCACCGGGCCCGATGAGATCAGCTTCGGTCTTAATTTCTGTAGATCGTGCGTATATATATCAGCCCATTTATCCCATCTTTCCTCTCCCATTTCCCTACGCATGGTTCCAGACAACCCCCGGGCTACGAACAAACGCACCTTCGAACTTCTTAATCTTGCGATCGCCCGATGCGGCCGGTGGCGCGGCTTCTCCTATACATAACAATTAGTCCTGCACTCAATTCACACACAAGCTTCCGCCCCAAGATCCGCGGCTCAAACCTAGTTTTCCGGATACATGGGATCGGGAATACACATACTTCTAATCATGCTAGTAGCAAAGCTGCGTCTCATGACGGGGGCGACGGCTGCTCTGCGAGCAGCAGCAATGGCTGAGCGTTGGAGAAACATGGCGGGTGTGTCGATTGAGGGTGCGGACGGTGGTACGATTTGTAGGTAATTTTGATGATTTCGTGAAGTTGCTTGTCGGGAGACGCTAGTTTGTGATGACTAAGCTGGGCCGACGGTTTCTGCGTGGGATGCACGAATGGATGGGGTATCACGTGCGTAGTGTAAACAAATGGGAAGGTGGGGTGGTTTGTTTTTTGAGGATGGAAAAACATTGTGCTTTCTTAGCTAAATGCTGTTAATTCAGCACCTCAGCTTTCTCGTTTGATTCGTTCAGGAATAGACAGACACCTTTTCTTCTTCTTTTAAACATATTCCCTGAACTTGAAGAATTTCTAAAGAGTATATGGAGCTACTTCCAATGGGAAAGAGCAGGTCTCTGAAGACAGAGACGTGCAACAAAACTGATGATACCGTTAGTACTTTTCACTAGCAAAGTTTTGCACCCAAATTCACTACTCATGGCTATACGTAGAGTTAATCAAGTACCTTATTGTATCTAGTCGGCTGCTACTTGCCTCGATTCGTTTGCATTGCCTGCGGAATTTAATGCATGAAAAAGCTCTCGGGACTTTAAGAGTTTCCCACCACAATTTGTCAAAATAGTCTTTGTCAAAGTCTCAAGCCTAATTCAATGTTATTAATTTTCTGATCCTTTGACAGAGCCCCTCCTACTCTACATGTATAGTTAAACAGATTCTTTTATTCTATCTTTCTTTTCAGTCCTACAGAGATCCTTCTGTAGTGCGATTACTTGAGGATACAGATATGCAACAAACTAGTATTAAACTACCCCCAGGCAAAATCCATCAGAAGCACTCTTTTCAAAGAACTCTTACCTCATTATACCTTTTAATCTGCTATCTAAAGACATGACAGGGAAAAGCATGTGCTCTTCTTCTCATCAGATAAGACAGATCACCCTCTCCTAGTTTTGTTCTCTTCCGACAATTAAGTCTCGATGAGCAATGAATTTCATCCAAGGTCAGACATGCAGCACAAATTATTTTGAGTTTTCTAGTGCAAGTTACTCTGCCTCTTTGCTAATTCTTCCATATTATTAGGTTTCCTTATTGATACACACACACACCATATATTCTGTCGAGTATAGTTCGCGCTACAGCACACAAGTGCTCTAGGATTAAATCGGGGAACTAAACTCTCAAAAAATCACTGCTTAGTAGGTAGGAGAGACCAGACCAGAACAGCACATAGGTCGTTCAGAAATCCAAAGAAACAACATTGAAGGTTATCCGAAGAACAAACAGAATTTCAATGAGCTACCCTAGAAGAATGCTATCATTATCGAGAATTTTACTCATCTCAGACAACACCAAAAAGTGAAAACAATATGAATATGTGCAGTTTTCCGTATAACTTCAGATCACCATTAACACTAATATATAAACCGTGCTAATGCGGGAGAGGCATACCTCACGTTGGTGTCTACGCCAACATCATTACTCAAGAAACTATTACTGATCTCAGCTGCGAAAGAGGTGTCTCGCAGTTTCAGTGAGTCTAATTACTCTTGAAACTCAGAGGGGACGACTTTAGTTCTCGCCTCATGGCCTCTTGTTCACCTGTTTTTTTCATCAAATAGCTACATGATATTGGAATTGCCTGGCAAGTAGGAGTGGGTGAATGATTGGAAAAGTCTTCCTCCCCATCTCCTTCCTCGCCCATGGTCTTTCGTTGATCGGTTGTATGGAGCCAACATACTAATTATGCTCGATCTCCAGATTCCGGGCTAAAACAAGTAGTATGTGGACTAGATTTCCCGGTTGCCCATCGCGCTCATTCTATACATCTCATTCAATATATCATTCAATATATCATTCAATATATCATTCAAGTTTTATGATTTTCCTTTCATCTTACTGGTCCCCTTTTTAGTCTTGATTGCAATCATAAAAGAATGATAAGAGGAATATGTATGTTAAAGGATGTCAGTTTTGGAGATTGTACCCTCAGCTATATGCTACCTTCCTCTGCAAAACTTCACAGGCGAGGAAGAAGTGGTTCACTACATTCAGGGGTTTTCGCTCAACATTTCACGATCGTGTAGGAATGCCCTTTGATTTCTCCAATGGTGCTATGTACTGGAAGCTAAATTTTAGTCGGTAGCCTGGGCAATACTTTTTCTTGAGCATGCGGTTCTGGATCGATGTCCACGTCTATCTATAATACGGCGTAGGTGTCTATAGTCTCGAAAAACGTTGACGGAGTTACGTTAGACATTGGCTCTTTCCATGAGCCTTCCAGCATATAATTGATGCCCAAGCTCAATGGCTTTTGAAAGTTCTACGCCTCGCAAGTGGATGGCATTCTAAACGCCATGGCCGCTCTGTTGGCTTTTGTATTCCATCACACTGCTAATAACCTCTCCTACTCTGTGTTGCCGCTAGACATTTATATCCGCATACTCGGAGCACAAGACAGTTTGGGCATCAGTCAGAGATGTGGGATGTCAGATCTTGTACTCAAGTTTGGTTCGAGATTCCGGTCTCCGTGCTTCTAGAGATACTAGAGCAACTCAATATAGTCTATGACTCTCCAGGCAAAACATACCTACTTGTCAGAAGACAAGCATTTAGAGTGCACTCCTTTTACATGGACTAGTTGTAATAATAAAAGGATATTCCTTGACACGGGCCCGATTTGGGATATGATGGTTAGTTCGAGATTCGTTTTCAAAGACCACTCTGGAACATGACTTTTGTCTCCTCGCGAGAGTCCTCCAGTATCTTGTGGCATCGTCACTCCCTCGAGCTCCGTCGATGGTTTACCAGATGATTCCACAGATGATGTCCGAGCCATTCTCCTCCGCTTCAGAACCCACGTTTTGTGCGATCCTTCCGTCAAAAATGCTTTCGATACGACTTTAGCCCATAGGAAACGCTAGGAGAACTTTCTGCTGGCATATCTCGCGCATTCAAGCGACAACGCAAGCTTCGCCTAGCTCTCGGGACACGATGATGACACGCCCGTAACGTTTCGGCATCAAGAACCTATTGGGATTGGTTACGCAGTATTTCCACAATCCATGCATTTTGTCCTTATTCTTGGGACTGGCTACGGTGCCGGATTGCATCAGCAAGAAAGATGAAACGTTTCCCACAGTCTTTACCAGGTATCTTTCTGCGAGCTGATTCAACATCTTGCTGTGATGTGCCAAGTGTACAACGATTATGGATCGCCAACACCGGATAAAGTAGAGAGGAACCTCAAAAGTGCTAATATGCCCGAGTTTGAATATTGTAGAGCGTCTGGTGCATTATGGCAATGGCAGAATATGAGCGTGAATTACTTCTTGTGAGCAAGACGCGATTGAGATCTTTGGCCGATAAAAAAGTGAGAAATGTCGTGGACATATTTTTCAGTGTCACGGATTCGTATGGATATATCTATCTTGCTATAGCTAGAGGTATTACCACTAGATTGGCATAGAGGTTTCCTTTCTTGGGTCTCAGGATGTCTGTTTGACCTCTGTAATCCGCTACTCTTAGTTGTCATATTGCTATTGCGTTATCAAATCATTCATGCTTGGAATCTTCACATCCTATAAACAAATCCAAAATCGCATTATTATAAGATCTTAATATTGGAACGTCATGTAACCAACCTCACAAAAGGAGCAATAGAACTGCGAACTCTAGCTCCTTTTCCATTCACATAAATAGTTCATTTCTTATAGCGTGGGTAGTATAAATGAATAAAACACAGCACTATAATAGTACTATATGAATAGTATCAGCGAAGTGATACCAACATTTACCTTCATACCAGTTTAGGCTCCTGAGAACGGCAGTCGACTATCATTTTTTATAACCTCAGACACTTGCTAAGCTGAAAGCTGCTTTCATACATGTATGTATCAAAACATGATGGTTAGATATTGGTATCGTGAATGCAGAGGAATATGACGGGTTACAATCATACTACTGGATGATTAATACGGTAATCTCCTCTCCTCCTTTACAGAACTGCCTAAATTACCGATTCAAAATCTTTAACCATCTGGACCCCTCACTCCAAACCCTCTCACTCCAAACCCTCTCACTCCAAACCCTCTCACTCCAAACCCTCTCACTCCAAACCCTCTCACTCCAAACCCTCTCACTCCAAACCCTTTACATACAAACTTTCACCCACAACCACTTACATCAAACCCATCACTCACAGCCACAAATCATCACATATTAAATCTCACAACATTGTATACATTAAGTCTTACATACCAACAAATTATCTCCACCTCACTAAAGGCAAAGTAGACTATCCTTAAACCTCTCAGATTGAATAGAAAGTAATATATTAATTAGGATCTAATTTAAAATAAATACTTAGGATTTATATTATAGATTTTATTCTTTCTGTACAGAATCTTCTCTTCAAATTTTTATGTATATTCATTCATACTATATAAAGTATAATAAATCATCTATAATATATACAACGAGTAAATAACTCACTCTATAATATAAAGACATTTATTGTACTGTTTATAATATAAATATAATCTAGTGTATATATATTCTAAATTTATCCAATCTCTTTAAAACTCTACTATCAATCTTTAATTGATAATTTAAAACCTAAAATCTAAAACACTAATATTACACTGCTAAACTCACTACATTAAAGATCCCTTTTTCTTTTAAAGATCACCTTTATAACTAATTACTGATTATCAAAACAAACTATGGAGTACTTTTATAATATTCCATATCACAGTACAATTCCCTCTCTCCAAACTCTACAACTACATCCTCCAGCCACATCATCCCACCCGAACAACCACCCAACCCATGCGCCCCCAATTCCCAAATCCCCAATCCCCAATTTCCCGCTCCAGAAATCTCCCACTCGATACTCTCCTCCAATCTTCCCTCCAGAATTCCACATCTATCTAAACTTCTCATTCAAAATTTCAAAAATTCTAAAACACTATCTACCTATTACTTCTAATACCTAACCTTGACCCTACCATATATCCATCTATCCACTCGACTCCACTCCACACCACCGCTTACATATTCCCCCCACCCATTCCACCCCACGCACCATACACACCCCAGCCACCCACCCCTCCCGTTTCCATTTCCATTTCCATTTCCATGTTCATTTCCATTTCTATTTCCGTCCCTGCCTGCCTGCCTGCTTGTGTTTCAGTTTCAGAAAGCTGCAGGTACCGCAGGCACTAAGATTATATACTATACACCAAACAACAACACTATATACAATACACCTACTATATTTCATGCAAAAATACTATACTTTAGACAATAATACTATATTTAATACATTCACTTACTAGTACTATATTCTAAACAAAAACCCTAGACGCTAAATGTTATACATTCATTACTCCGTACTCCGCGCAAAAATAAAAAATTAGAAATAAGAAATACCACTCACTAAATACATCTAATCTACCTACTCCAATCTCCTCGATCACGTCTATCAATCTAGATATTCAATTTTTCAATTTCTGGTTTTTAATATCCTACAAAACATTCACACAAACCTCCCACCAAGTAAAACCTTCCCATCCCATCCCATCCTCCAATATACAACCCACAACCCACAGCCTACTCCATAAGGACTAAAACTAACCAACCAACCAACCAACCAACCAACCAACCAACCAACCAATCAATCAATCTCATCCCATATAAACTTTCAAATATAGACATGATTATAGATAAAGTGTGACCAAAAGGGTGTTTATAGACCAGCAATTGTATTTAACTTAGAATCTACAGGTGAAGAGCACCTGTAGATGGGGATAGCTACTCTATATATACACAAATGAATAGCCTAGCCGCAATAGCTAGGCAAAAAGAAGTCATATTTATTCCTCCAATGATCTTACTTTACCGATAACCATTGATACCTAGTACTTGTCCGGATCTGATCCTCAGGTCACCTAAATCGCATACTAATCTCGAGTAATCGTATCATGTGTGGACATGGTTAATGTACCTGAGGTTTCTTATATAATAAGGGTGGGAGGAAAGCAGGGATTTCCGTCACATAAAGAGATATAAATAAATATAGAAAACCAAAATAATTATTTCTAAATTCTAATACCAACTACTGTCACACTCAAGAATACTGGGTAAAGTATCTTGTATTAGAAAATACTAAGCTAAGGAGAAAAGAAGAAGGAAAACAAGAGTAGAGAGTTTTCCTATGATTAAATACAAACGGGGCATGCCACGTGACCCGGAGGTGTGAGGCGTCACACTACCCCCCTTCTCAAACGTCAAGACTGTCCTCAGGCTTGAGCCATACGTTTCCGCTGAAGCAGGGTCTAGTTCTCCTCGTTGTCGTCCAATCGATCTTCCGGAACCTTATCTTCCAATGCACATTCTAACCAGTAATTAAGATTCTTCGGTGGCCCGGGTAAGTCAGGGTACTCGTTGTGAAAAGCTTTTAGTGCTAGCGGTGAGTTTTTAAGATCGGTAGGTGAGTATTCATCGATGTCGGTATCGAAACCACGCCATTTAACCCTGTAGCGGAGCAGTCCGTAAACTTTGCGGACTGAAAGTATTTTTTCGACTTCCCATTCCAAGTTGCCATCGATCTCTTCAGGTATAGGTGGTGCGTGAACTTGTCCAGGCAAAGGATCTTCTGCGGCTTTGCGGAGCTTCTCAGGATTAAAGTACGGGTGTACTTTGATCTCTGCAGGCAATTCTAGCTTGAATGCGTTTCCGCGTCTCTCTAGGATCCTATAGGGGCCGCTCATCTGGTCTCCAAGTTTGCGACTAGGCCGATTAGTCCTCCAGGACTTAGTACTTACATATACCATATCCCCGACATCGAAATCAACTTCGCGACGTCGTTTATTAGCTTGCATTCTTTGACGTTCCTGTGCGACCAGCATATTAGAGCTAGCGATTTTCCAAGCGTTATATAGACGCTCGGTCCACGCTTGAGCCTCCCTTCGATTCCACTTAGCGGCGGCTGGTGTTCTGGCGGGTATTTCCTTCCAATCGAAGCTGGTGCGGGGTTCGAAACCTAAAATCGTGAAGAATGGGGTTTGTCCAATCGATTCTTGTATCAAGGTAGCTTGAGCGAAATCCATCATAGGTATCAGCTCGTCCCAGTTGTCTTGGTAGAAATTTACGAAGGGGCGTAGGCGTTGATCGATGTATTGATTCATATTTTCTGTTTGACCGTCTGTTTGGGGGTGATCTGCCGTCGATAGCTTCATTTTGATACCTAAGATCGAACATACCTCCATCCAAAAGTCCGACACGAATTGTGGGCCGCGATCTGAAACGATACTATCAGGTGGTCCGTAATAAGAGTAAATTCGTTCTAAAAACATTCGAGCGAGATCTCTAGCATCTGCAGTTTGGAAGCACGGAATGGTTGTCGATTTCTTGCTCAATCGACACATGAATACCAGGATTGCATTGTGACCGTTTTTTGACTTCGGAAAGCTCTTGAAATCCATCGTTAGATGCTGCCAGGGTCTTTCAGGGACAGGGAGCGGTTGAAGCAAGCCGGGAGTCTTGTCACGGGGTATATGAGCACGTCGGCATATGCTACAATTGTGAATATATCTTTCAACATCCTGAGGCAATCCTTTCCAATAATACCGTTGTATCAATAGTTCTGTCGTTTTACGAATACCAGGGTGTCCCATAGAAACTTGTTCATGAGCTTCTTTGATCAAGAGTGTTCGTAATGGTCTATCAACAACCATAGCGTTTGGTACTACTAGCTTACCAGATCGAAGCAATAAGCCATCAACCAACGTCCATTTCCCGTTCGCTTCTGTTCGTGCCAAGGTGCGTTGTTCTCCTAGTTCTGTTGCAGTACGATTAGCCTGCAAAACCTGTAGCATCTGTCCTAGGCCAGGATCGATATCTTCCACAAGAGGCGCTAATACTTCTGCTCGCACTTCGGGGGAGAGCATCGTTGGCTTTAGGAGAGTACCGAGGCGATTGGCCTCCATCCGCTCTTTTTGGCTCTGTATATCGCTGTCGCGCCGGGTTAGGGCGTCAGCTTGTCCATTTGCTTTTCCAGTACGATATTCCAATTGGAAGTTGAATTGAGAAAGGTATTCTGCCCATCGTGCTTGGCGTGCTGTCAACTTTTTAGTTCGCATAAAGATCTCCAGAGATTGATGATCAGAATAGACCTGGACGGGATTTTCAACGCTTTGGAGCTCCACTCGCCACTGCTGAAATGCTTGCAGGATAGCCAGCATTTCTTTATCATGGATCTCGTAATTACATTCTGCGGGATTCATAGTCTTAGAGAAGAACGCCAACGGATGCCATTCCTTTGTCGCCGGATCCAATTGGGAGAGAATGCCACCTGTCACCCCGTCGGAAGAGTCCGTCTCTACCTTAGTGAGGCGGTCTGGATGAAAGTAATGCAGGACCGGAGCTTCTGTTACAGCTTGTCGCAGTGTTTCGAAGGCTTTCTGGCAGTCCGGATCCCAATCGAAGATTCGTCCCTTCTGCGTGAGCTTATCTAGAGGGCGTGCGATTCGTCCATAGTTTTTGATAAATTTGCGATAGAAACCACAAAATCCTAGGAAACCTCGTACTCCTTTGACTGTCGTAGGCCTTTTCCAGGTCAGTATATCTTTGATCTTTTCAGGGTCAACTTCCAAGCCTTTTGTCGATACATAGAATCCCAAATACTTGATTCGTGACACCGAGAAATCGCATTTTTTGATGTCCACAGACAGGCCGGCCTCTTTCAATTTGGTTAATACCCATCTGACTTGGGCAGTATGTTCTGATGGATCTGTAGAGTAGATAATGATATCATCCAGGTACGCGGTACAGAAGTTTCCCAGGTTCTCCATCAAAAGATTATTGATGAACCGTTGATAAGTCCCGGGTCCTCCTGACAATCCGAAAGGCAAAACTAGCGATTTGAATTGTCCAAAGCAAGTTTGGAACGCAGTGAGTTCCTCTGAATCGGGATGCATTCGAATAGCATTGAAGGCAGCGCGTAGATCGAGTTTCGTGAAGATTTTGGCTTTGGACATTTGTGAGAGGATCTCGTCAATCCTTGGAAGCGGATAGCCATCTTTAGCTGAGATTTCGTTTAATTTCCGATAGTCTACACATAACCTCAGATCCCCATTAGCCTTTTTGACGAAGAGGATAGGTGCAGCAAACGAAGCGTTACTAGGAGCGATCCATCCCCGATTCAAGTTTTCATCGATGAACTTCTTTAAAGCTTGTAATTCCTGGGTCGTTTGTCGATATAATGGAGACAATGTCAAGTTGTTGGGTTGTGTCAATCTAATTTTATGGTCGCTATTCCGATGAGGGGGTAGAGCATTTGCCTTTTTCTTGGAGAAGAGATCAATGAGATCATGATATTCTTTAGGGATAGTTCGTTGCAGCGTTTCCAGTTCCGTTCTTCTGGGCGATCTTCTACAGAGTGCTCCCTTTGGTATAGGATCTGATCGATTTCCCAACTTGTGGCTGTAAAGCATTGATTCTTCCGGTTCCGGGTGTTCATTCGGTATCCGATAGCATTGATCAATGCTATCCGATGAGGTGTAGTTCCTTCGGGCGTTGGTCCTTTCATCGATCGTGATGGTTCCTTATCCAATGAATTCATGAGTTCTCCGGGCCATAGGATCTTCGATCTGGCTACGTCCAACAATACCTTTTGTTGTGCTAACCACTCTCTTCCAATGATGAGATCACAAGCTAATTCTTCTATAACATATAGATAAACATTAGGGAACTTGCGATGACCGATGGTGAGGGTTGTTTTCAAACGTTGAGTGATAGGATTAGCCTTTTGTTGATTATAACCATAGACAATACGAGGTTTAATAGGTTCGAGGGGGAGGTTTGTTCTTTCAGCGATATCAAAGGCGAGTTTTTTATTCACGTAAATTTTACCGCTTGCTCCAGTGTCAGGTAAAAAGAAAGCAGAGATGGTTATCCCGTTTTTTTCTATAGTACATGGGAATTCAAAGTTTCTCTTTTTCTTCTGACATAGATCGATATCGAGTTTCCCGATCTGTAGAGCCCTTAAGGAGGAGTCTTCCCTTAAGGGGTTTCTTTTCCCGATTCATTCGATTCGTCGACATCGATCACTTGTACCTTGTTGGGACAATCGCGGGCTAAATGTCCTGGCAGATGGCAGCGGAAGCAGGCACCAGCACGACTAAGCGCTTGCCGAGCAGGATCGTCATAGACCGGGCGATTCTTAACAGGGGTTTTGTTGACGGGGAGCACAGCCGGGTTTTCGAACTTCATCTGTATTTTGGGGATGGAAGAGGGGGAAGGGATAGTGGTCCCTCTGTAAATGCCTTTGCGGGTTCCCATATGCGATTTGGCAGGCTTTAGCTGCTGCAAAAGATAATCGAATTTTTGGCAGTCCTTTACATATTCAGTCAAAGTAGTTGCATGGGAGGTGATCATCTTATCGTTGAGTTCGTTGCTCAACTTGTAGGTCAGATCTTCCAGTAATTGGTCCTGGTCGGTGATTTCAGCAGTTGACGCATACAATTGGAACTCGGCATAGAACTCAGGGAACGGCCGATCTCTTTGGTATAAAGCATTATACTTGCGTCGGGCGTCCTGTTTCTTGTTGGGGTCCCCGTAGATATCTTCCAAAGTAGCAAAGACTTCTTCGACGCTAGTGTAAGGGTTCAAAGCATCAGTACGGTAACGAGCTCGTACCTGCTCAGCAGGAGGTCCCTTCAGGCGACTGTGTACATACGCCAATTGTGCGACGGGGTCGGAGTTTCCAGAAGCGCGAATCTTGTTCATCATTTTATCTTTCCATTGTTCCCAAGAAATGCCGGTGGAGGAGCTCTCAAAGAACTCAGGGTCTGGGATCTTGAAGGCGGGTTGGGGCGACACCGTTGACTGGGCTTTACGAAGGTCAACGATCTCTGCCTCGAGGCTGGTGATCCGATTTTCGTACTCAGCTTCGTTCTGTTCTGCTCCTAAAAGGCTCTGCGATATCTCTATGTTCTGAGCAGCTAAACGATCGCGTTGTCTTTTGATCGAGGCTATCTCCTTTTGATAACGTTGTTGGTCTATGTATACCTCGTCGGACCACCTTGCTATCTCGTTGCTAATGGATAGCAAGTCCGCCGGGAGATATCGTTCAAAGTTTTCAGCAACGCTTCCAAACAAGAAATTATAGGCTTCTGCAGCCATATCTGGCAAGAGGCCCTGATCGACTGCATCAAGTGCACTCAGGAGTCTGCGTTCTCTTCTTTTGCCTTGACTGACGGATTCAGGGAGATCGGGAACAATGTTGTGTTCCCCCTCCTGTTCTTCGTGAGGGGTTGGGGATTTCTGAGTTGTCATTTCGAGATCAATTCTATGTCTGTTTCTTTCGGTCCAGGATTCGAGTGTGATAATCAATTACGATTTAATCGATACGTAAATTTCAGGGCTCGTAGATTCGTAGGTTCGTAGGTTCGTAGGTTCGTAGGTTCGTAGGTTCGTAGGTTCGTAGGTTCGTAGGTTCGTAGGTTCGTAAGTTCGTAGGTTCGTAGTCTATACGCAATTATTTTTACTTCCCAGCGTACGGGAAAGAGTGTAAGATGAGCTTAGTATTATGTCACACTCAAGAATACTGGGTAAAGTATCTTGTATTAGAAAATACTAAGCTAAGGAGAAAAGAAGAAGGAAAACAAGAGTAGAGAGTTTTCCTATGATTAAATACAAACGGGGCATGCCACGTGACCCGGAGGTGTGAGGCGTCACAACTACAAACTCATTTAAACCCAACAATTATAATTATAAATAAAACAAAATCCTCTATAAACAAAAATTCTCTCTCTATATATATAAATAAGATCTTATAATAAAAACTCCAAACCCCACAATTAATCCCTATATACATCAAAATCAGGTAAAGCATCACCTACTTCCCCATTCCACCCATTCCATCCTACCGCTTCCCAAAAAGAGAAAAAAAACAAACAAACAATTAGAAAACTTCTATACAAAGAATACACCACCAAATACATATCATCTAACCTTATATACCTAATTACTCATACCTTACACATATTCATATTCATATTTAATTTTTCTTACTCGCCCTCTCCCCCTCTCCCGGGTCGCCCCCCTCCCCGCGTTTCCGTATTTACTAATCTATTCCATTCTATTTTATTACTTCACTTTACTTCATCATCTTAGTAATGCTCCTTAATATCACCATCACTATTATTATTATCTCAACTTTCTTTATTATCATCAGGAATCTCAAGAAAAAGACAGAAGAAAAAAAGAAATCAAACCAAATCAAATCAAAACACAATACTACTAAAAAGCATATATTCCAACTATCAACTATCAACTACTAAAAAAACAAAAACTCAATAAAATCCAACAATTCCATCCAAACCATAAGTCCATCATCATCATATCAAAATAAAGGGGTATATGAAGTTTAAAAACAATGTCCAACAGTTGCCATGTAGAATATCACTCACCACTCACTACCCACTTCCCACTACCCACTTCTCTTCCTCCATTCACTCTTCCTTCACCTGTAGTACAATTACACCTTCTTTTCCTCCCTTCCCCCTTCATCATGAATAGTATATTTTATGTTCGAATCTTGAAATTTACCCCTCTGTATATCAGACTCTCTCTTCCTTCCTCCTATCTCCTATCCTTATCCCCTTCTTTCCTCCTATGACATATGAAAAGAGGATTGTAGCTAACAATCCAAGTCCAAAAATAAGTAACATAAAATAGGTAAAGATAAAGACGATCCAGTCGCTTTAATCCGGTATTAGTTTGTATTTTCGCTTTCGTATTTCTTTATGTATTGTGTGTATATTGGGTTTGTGTATGTTTGTGCCTGTGGTGCGACAAATGAAAATCTATTATGGATATTTGAATCGACTTGGCTTTTTAGTCGTCATGTTTGATATTCTGAACACAGCGTCTGTGCTGATAGGTAGGCGAGAGGTAAATAAAGATGCCCAAAGTCGGTCCGTGTGAAGCTAATATTCAGCATCTTCAGGCAAGTCTTCCGGTTCTGGTGATTGTAATTCGGAATCATCGGGGTGCATCTAATATATGGACGAATGATTAGCCTTGCCGTGTCTGCATCACTTGTGATGAAAGAAATGTAACATTTAGGCTGCGCCGTGCGCATGGATATAACCCAACCAACTCGATCCAACCTATCCAATACTTTTCACATTTGCATTTGTTTTGGGGAAACTCACAAGTTCAGTCCATTTATCTTTACAAGCCGTAGATGTGAATCCAGTCCCGACTTTTTGGGCCACGATGCGCCATTTTTCTTGCTCGTAATCATGGACCGCTGTTCGAAGTTTTTGAACCTGTGAGTTTTTATCAGTTACTAATCATCCAAAGAACCTAAATCAATGAATAACTTACCGTTTCGTCAGTCCACTGAGTAGTCTTAGCCTTCAACTTTGTGCAATACCGAACCTGTAATGTCCCCGAAGAACGCCCTGGAAAAAATTCGGCAATTTGTTTCCAAGTCAAAGATTTATTTTCCTTCAAATCCACCAGTAACTGGTCATCTTCTGGAGTAAACTTCAACTTTGGACCCCGTGGTCTTGCAGCAGGCATAGGCATTCCGGCAGTGCCGACTACACTAGGCGCACCTTGCGACATCATACTCGACTCTGGCGCTTCACCAAGACGAGGAAATTTTGCGCCTCGAGGTCCTTGATTTGGCAATGCATGGCTATGAAAAGCTTGAGGTCCACCACCATAACCACCCATCGTTTGCTGCTGAGACATTTGTGAAGACATGCCTTGCATCTGCCCATGCATGTGGCCCCCCGACACTCCTCCCATCCCCATACCCAACTCATCATGAGCTCTCGGTCTTTTCCCTACACTAGATGCTTGCTGCATTGGTGCACCTATATATCTCATTTGCTGCCCACCGCCATATTGAGGCGATTGGTGGTGGGCCATGCTGTGTGGATCTAGCAATACTTGATGGTGGTGCTGTTGCTGTTGCTGCTGTTGTTGATGATGCGCTCCAAGATGAAGAGATTCGAGACCTGGCGTACCAACTTGTTGGAGCTCGAGGTGATGCGACCCGTAAACGCGCTCTGGATGTTCTTCGGATTGAGCAGCATAATCGATATAAGGATCGTGCCCATGATTGTGGCGTGAATAGCCAGACATGCATGGATTCCTCCACAGCGAACTGCTCACGCAGGTCGCTAGGGGTAACTCTGAAAGATGTTGAAGTATTGCCGCAGCGCGTTGTGTTTCCAGAACGCTTGTTGTGGTTTTCTGACCTGTTGTTTACAAAACAGATGCGGCTGTGCGCGTTTCGAAAATTTATCTATATAATGCCGTTATATAGGTGAGAGCCGAGTAACGCATACCTTGGTAATATGCGTTAACCTCAAAACAAAATGTTTGCCCAAAATGTTTCCAAAACTTTTCGGCGATTTCTCGTGGGAATAAGGCACTACAGGTCAGGGTCGCTGTATGACGAATAGGTAAAAGGAAAGAAAATTTTTAAAGAGAGAGGGCGGAGCATCTGCATTTATCTGTCGTCTGATCTTTAAGGTTGAGCTTGCATAGACAGCAATGGCGTAGGGCAGTAGCAGTAATTAAAATGACCAAAGCGTTCCAACGATTTGTACCGAACGAGACCACTTCCGTGTTGCGCAATGTCAATGATGCATGCTGGTGGAAACCCTTTGGCAACGTTCTCTGCTGGGGAGATGGGATTTTGATTATGCCTGACTTCCCAATTAGGCTTCCAAGGTGAAAAGATCCCGAGCTGATGCTTGTAACGCTCGAGGCATGGCAATCGAAAGAAGCTTCGCACACAAGGAAGGGGGTGATGAGTAGACCGGCCAAGAAGATTTGGTATCGAAACTAGGCAGAGTGGAGATGTGCAAGCATGGGAAGAATGTGGCATCCTCAGGGCATAGAACTCTGGAAGCAGTATAGAAGCTTTTGAAACAAGAAAATGGGTTGTGGCGAGGGTAAGAAACCGGCAGCAGGGATTTAGGCCCACTTCACCCAACCATCTCAACTCCTGGATGAACTTTAGTTCCCGAACCAACTTAAAAAACCTCCTCGTTCCTATCGAAGTGTGGAGAAGTATGGCCATGTTGCACGGCGCTGCGACCTCTTTCCGGGTATGAAGCATGAATAATAACGAAATTGTTTTAATGCCCAGGGATTAGATGGATAAAAATAGGATTGACGTGAAGTGTGATAGGACAATGACAGATTGAAGAACGGAGATGAATTAAATGGCAGAGTAATGCTTTGATTTACCAAATTGGTTCCTTTACCTTGGACATGGCAGCGTTGCGCAGGCTGAATTTGGACTTTTGCCGGGAGAGAGTGGTATTGGGAGGTTCGGATAATGACTGATCAATAAGCAAGCCATGTGTAGGCGACAGGAGACGGTGGTCCCAACTCCTCGAATGCATAACTAGGTAGTGACCTTACAGTAGGTAGGTAGTAGGTACCTACTTCATGGTGATTTAAGGGTAACATTGTAACATTGGCCTCCACACTATCCCACTATCCTCCATCATCCATACAGATCCAAGGGTGATATATATAAATCCCCGATGGTGACCGCTGGGAATTCCCCTTTTTTCCTGTACGTACTAAGTACTTACTTAAGTCGTGCGAGATTTTCACATTGATTGATTGATTGATTGACTGATTGATTAATCCAATTTAATCCCCATTAAAAAGCCATAAGAACTAAAATGACGCATGAAATGATCGTGTACCAGTAACAGTCACGGAAATTTGGAGCTCAAAGGCTGTAAAATGACAAATAGAGTAGTAAAAAATTTGATGCTTGGAAGGTTTTGGGATGTTGGATGTTGGTTGTCGGATGCTGGATGCTGGATGGATGAGCCTTATCGACATCGACCCTGCTGTTTAACCCCGGTGAAGAAGGCTGAGGAAGAATGACAGAAGCTTTTTAAAGATCCCTTTGATCTCTTTTTTACCATGTTAGATTTCTATACTTTTGTCGTCGTATTTGTCATTTGCCATTGTGCTTTTGGCTCTTTCCTCTTTTCTCTTTTTTTCCCTTCTTCTTTTCTTTTTGCTTTTCCCTGGTGGAGATATTTGATGTGTGATGCATGGAAGAAATATCCCTGGATTTAGTAGAAAAAAACCCACAATTGTAACATCTCAAGTCTTATATCCGCAAGAGGAAAGTTCACACTTCGAACAGAGCCATGAAAAGATACATCAAAGCCCTCTTCACCCTGTTAACTCTTCGATCAAATTGGTGAAATTGGTGAATTATTTGCGACATTGCCCCGTTAATGCTCTTCGACTGTCGGACTCCCGCCCAAGATCTTCTGCTCAAGGCATTGATGTTGGTGGCCGGGGTGCTCTGGTCTGTAACGCCCTCAAAAAGTAATATAATCATTGACTTCCAAGGTTGGTTCCTTTTACCAAATCCCTAGGTCAGCATGAATGATCGGAGCAGGGGAAGATACCAATATGGGCAGAGCTGAATATTGTATGTCTGGAAAAGGAAGACACAATTGAAGAATCGTACGTATTTTTCATGGTAACAAGGTTGTGTGTGTCGATTGTTGCTTCTCCTGATACTATTGCTGTATGCTTCCAGTATACCGACCCGATCAGCTGAAAGATGATTGATTGGTAGAGAGGAACGAAACAAAAAGGGGAATGCATATCGCTAAGAAAATATAATATTGAATGGGACGAAGACGAAAGCAGGAAAAAGAGATGGGGAAAATTGAGTGAAAAGAAAACTTAATTCTGAATTGGAATTTGGAATTTAGAATTTGGCATCTCGAATTTCGACTTCCGACTTTCGCAGAGAGAAAGAAATATTCCATTTACGGATACATCTTCGGAGGAAAGCGAGGAAGGGACCACTATTAACCTTAATATTATACCTAATATATATTGATTGATAGTATCGAATCATATGAAAATATACCCGCAAATTCCTTTTTAGTCTTTGTGTTTACTTACTTTGTATACGTAGGTAATTAGATAGGCAAATATGTGAGCCACTTTATAGATTACGATTTCTTTGTAAATTGACCAGAGAACCGTCTCCGAGGATGAAGGAGGGAGATATGAATATCCAAACGAGCGGTAGGATGATGCAGTATACGGAGTACGGCCTCATTTCAGCCATGATGACAGGCATTGAAGCCGTTGATAAATATAACGCCGTCTACATATCAATATTTCATTCATGATACTATCCAAAAACGATTTCTACCTCATCTACGCCTCATTCCTCTATACCAGAATTCATATGATAATCATGAGCAGTTAGTATCTACTATATCAAAGTGATAACATTACACTTTCGAAAAATACTCCATTCCCATCATGAAATGAAGAACTTGTAACTTTCCTTTTCACCAAAAATCAAACCTTGAAAGTAAAATCAATATAGAAGTTTCAACTTATCTTCCGAAAAACCTATCAATAGCATCATTAGATTCTATTCAATATTCTCTATCGAATGCAAATGAAAAAATGAAAATTCTCAAAAATTGATATCTTGATCTATAGTATATTATTTCTGAAATAAGTGTCACGATGTTCAAGACGAACAATCTGTGGGCGCGGCGTGGGACACATACTACTGATTGGGTGCCTCAGGCATCAATGTGGTTGGTGTACATTGGTGTACATTGGTGTAGATTGCAAAAAAATGCCTGAGGGCCCCTCAGACTCAACACGGATGTCTGCTCATGACCCATCAGTCTAATCACTCTGTTACACTTTTGGTTTTCATCATTCGGATACAGAAGGATGAGCTTTTGAGGATTATATAGTTATGCCTTTGATACTGTAGTTATCGAAGGCAGGAAGGAGTGATGGTGATGGGTTAGAAGTCTAGTTTTTGGGTTTGGAGGAGGTGAAGGTGGGTTGAGGGTAGAGAGAACAACATAACCGCAAAAGTACAAATTGTTTTGCTAGTAGTTATATAAATCTTATGCTATATATACGAATACTATAAACTGTAGGAAGATATTGATAAATGAACCATTAGCATAGAACACACCAGCACCTAAAGTAAAGTTCCCCGGTACATAAGCTTACCACACTGCCCTAAAACCACCGGTACTTACTAGCACCCGTTTTAGAGTATATAGTAATAAGCTAACCGATGAGCCTGCACACGGCAAGATAAATATGGGTGGTGGGTATCACTGGCACATACTCCGTACAATCCAATCCAATACAACATACCATGTACATAGCTAGGTAAATATACACAGTACATATCTTCGCCGCAGGACCCAAACAAGAATTAATGGCTCAAGTCTGAGACCCTTCCGCCCCGGGCCCCGCTAACCAAACAAGCAATGAATAAATGAAACGATCAAAACTCTATTCCAAGGTCTGTCTTTGGTGGATATCGATCAACATATTATGATACACAGCTAGAACACTTTTTACTCCGAACTCCGTAGATGGAATTAAGCTAAGCTAAGCCTCGACCTTGACTTACTTAACCCTAAAAATTTAATATTAATTATATGATCATGGCATCCATAACTATTAACCACAATATATATGCATCGCATCACGATCAACTGTTTCCGTTTTTGCTCTTTTGATATATATATATATATTATTATGATACATTTGATACTTACCTACTCCGTTCTGTTCTATAAATACCTAATACATACATACTCACTCTAACTACTAACTACTAAACGCATTGTATGACAATGACATAGCAGTGCTTTAATTTATACCCAACCATCTACCATCTACCAACTACCGGCTACCGTCGATCATACATCATACATATGCTAAAGTACAGGAAAGGAGGCGAGCGACGAACGAGCGTGTTGTGTAACATTAGACTAAATTCTAGACTAGACCCCGGAGAGCGCTTTGTGGACAGTAGATACCTACTAGGTACCTAGGTAATGAAGCCAAAAAAAAAATTAAAAAAATTATCGAGCGGACAGTGGACAGTGGGGTTCCATGGCGGAAACATACATGTAACGTGAGAAATACGGAGTTCAGCCATATTGTATCAGAGATGAGGGTGAATACCTAGTAGTGCCTACTTACCTAGGTACCTAGCTATGGGTGAGTTTGAGTTTTAACTGTTCTGATGAAGATGGAATATTCGTCCGATGCTAAGCGATGAGATTGTTTTGGACATTCAGATCAAGTGGGTCACATTTACAGAAATCTCAAATCCTCAAATTAACATACAGTACCTGGGGAAGCATCAC